ATAACGACCTCGGCCTGCCCGTTTCGACTGCAAACGTTGCCCATTACGACCTCATTCTCTCCGTGCCGACTGCAGACGTCGTCCATTACGACTCAGCTTGTCCGTGTTTACTGCAGACGTCGTCCATTACGATCTCGGCCTGTCCGTTTCGACTGCAAACGTTGCCCATTACGACCTCATTCTCTCCGTGTCGACTGCAGGCGTCGTCCATTAGGATCTCAGCCTGTCCGTGTCGACCGCAGACGTCGTCCATTAAGACCTCAGCACGTCCCTGTTCACTGCAGAAGTTGTCCATTACGCGATGTTCCGCGGAGTTTCTCTCCTGTTCTTTGCAGCACCTCGTTAAGGTGTGGCGGGTGGTCCAGTGCGGTTTACGGCTCTTGGTAGATCCGGAGACAAGATACTCGGTGGGTGATGTTGAGTTCTTTGTCCGTGTGGGCATGGACAGAACAGCACTGCAAAGCCTGCCGTGCAGATTTCCCTCACTCTGACGTCATCCCAGATCATCGTCCTTCAATATCGGTCGTCTACAGCACACATCACCCAGAGGCGTAGAGCACCGGCGCCTACGGCAGCCCCGTAAGAAGGTGTTCTGTTATAGCCTGCACCCCAGGGGACAAATTGGATCCTCCCATCGCACCACTGACGCTCCGTCCCCGGTACCTGCGCGGACAGCTGCTCCAGTAAGGTAACGCCATCTATCAGTACGTAGCGATTACTGATGCTGCCATCTGCGACGAAACCCCCAGGGGCCGTCCGAGGAGGGACGGTACTTTACGTCAGAGTGCTACAAAGCACGCACGATGCACGCACGGCGCACAAGCACATACGGTGGGTCGGTTTGCGGTGGGTCACCTGCACCGACTGCACTGTTGCCTGAACTGCCCGTCAGGGCGGCCGGCGTCGCGCCAGATCCTACCGCTCGTCGCTGGGATCGGCTCGGTGCTTCATCGTCGGCGCGCGACGAAACTGTGTGATTAGGCCCAACGGCTACTGGATCGTGTGGTTCAGAAACCCTACCAGAAATGATTGCATGATTGTGGTTTTGCAGAATATTTGCAGTGCCCATAAATAAAGTAAGTTCCAACGAGGGCACCATGGAAAACGGGGCCTTTCGATATTACATTTTAACATGCATGCACAGTGGCATGGTCTTGCCCGCATGGACCGAAAGGAATGTTCGTTTCGAAAAAGGCACGTTGCCGAAATAACAACGCATATTTTTGTATATTCTCCTCTTTTTTCTACGAGGAAGGAGGCTATTACTGCAGTCTTATCTGCGTGCGTAATACTTCTTGCATATGCACGACAGCTTGCGAAACCGGGTCATAGTTGACATTGCTGATTACAAACAGGGGCTGTATAATTGGGATTAAGATCTTTGGCGATGTCTTAATACAATACGTTGTAAGATGCTCTTGAGTGTTACTTTTGTAATCGATTTTGGGGGAGGGTGCTGGGTTGGGATTGTTGCATGCAGTCATATATGTACTTAGTACAAGACCATGGGAGACAAGTGTGAATTAATCGGACGTCATCTGCATGTATGGCGGTGGTGCAGTATGTGATGTGAGGCGCTGATTAAATGATAAAAACGTTATTGGTCCTAAAATCGAACCGCCAACATCAAGAGCCCAGTTTTGCAATGCGCTACAACGTGATTATTTCCGCCCATCCACTCGCTCGGGTGTACTGAGCTGAACCACCCACTGCACCAGTGGGAGTGGACACCACACGAGCTTCCGCCAGAGCCTGCTGCGCTCCACACTTTTGAAAGCGTCAGCGGTGCCCACGGCGGATGTAGGTGATCGTTGTCCACCACCCTGAGCGATTATGCCGTCCGAAGGTAAAAAGGCATAAGGGCCATCAGGTACATTTTAAGAACTATTTTTAAGCCTTCGGTGGGAGTAAGATTAGTATAGATGATGATGTGTGATGATGATGTGAAAGATGTGTATAGCAAATGGAATTTTGACTATTTTGAATGATTGTTTTCAAATTTCTGGCTTGGCATCATATAATGCAGTTATTTGAGTTGCGTCGTATGATGTGAATTACTCCATGTTTGAAGTAGTAGTTCGACCTTTTTATTTTTGGACAACAAACTTTCAAACGGCCCACTTTGTATCGACATATGTGATGAGAAAAATACGCGCGAATGACGCATAGTGAAGCCCTAAAGAAGCTTGCCAAACGCTTACGGAAAACGGTCATTCCAATTCGCCGGGACGAGTGATTTGTACGGGTTACGTCAGGCCGCTTTCGTTTAGGTGTTGGCGTCATCTCTGCGACGGCGACGCTGATGTGTAATTACATCGTTTGTCCCAACCTCGCGCAGTGGAAACTTCTTGGATGCGTGGCTTTGATCGATTGCAAGCCTTCTTCCAGCGTCGTAGGATCCATTCATCGTGGAGTGTAGCTGATTGCCTGGAATGTGTCACCATATATGTTAAAGTGTATTTTGTCTAAATAATTTCGTACCGGTGAACCTTTTATGAAAGCGGCGGAAACACTGCGCATGGTCGGTTTCACTTGTTAGACCCCGTCAATTGTTCATCACAGACTGTCCTCTCAGCTCCAAGAGAGGCTCTCAGATCCATGAACGCCAAGAACCCAACAAGAACAAGGACGAGACGACCGTTTGTTCACCGCTCTTGCTGCTGTCGAACGAAGGAAAGATCTCTGCTATCATTGGCGACAGCACCGAGGAGCTGATGGCACACCGCCGGGACTCCAAAGCCTCGTGGTGCTCTGCCTCTGCCATGACCACACATGGGAGGCGAACGGGCCGCCGAGCTCTGGCTCCCCTCTGACATCGGAATGTTACTGCGCCGCAAGCGGCGTACGGCTCAATGCGTCGTATAACGATCATCATGCAACGCTTTTAAGACCGCCTCAGCGTTGGATTGTGCTTAGCACACGGGAACTGCCATGTGCTTGATTCGATTCAGATTCTGAAGCGGGTCAAAAATCACTCGGAAGTAAGTGAATTGAGCTTGATTCGAATCTTTCGACTTTGGCGTGATTCAGAATCGCAGTCGCTTTGATTCTCGTGCTTCGGATCGGTGGAATCCACATGGAATCAGTATCAGGTCATGAGGGCTGTTGAGGATAATTAAAAGTGCTTAAGTTTTCTCACAAGTCGTAAGTGATCCTTACCGTTTATACAAGTTTTCAGTGTCTCTCACAGTTTGTCAATACTTACCCGCATTGCTAGAAGTAATAGGAGTATCCGGAGTCGTAAGTGGTGCTGGTTTACAACCTGTGTAATTTTGAACCGTTCACTTTGTCTCAATGTGATTTGTGAGCGAGCGCGCGAGCGTACCATGTGAAAGCCGGAATAGTGAATTGCGTGTGCATCGTTATCTAGGTGTGAAACATTCATGCATGGCCGATATGGATTTTGATTCATTACAATTTGGCACGCGCCGTTTTATTTGATTTGGAATCAAGTGAAACATTGATCAGAATGGCGAAACCGTCAACGCATGAACAAGGCACTTAACTTCAGCCATGCAAACAAACGTTGATGTATGCCATCTTGTACGTTTGCGACACACTCGAGGAAGATAAGCTAGAGAAATTTTCGCGGTAATTTCCGTCATATTATATTAAACTTATTTATACCACAAATGTACCTGTTACAGCAGACTGCAATTTGCGTACGACCGATTACCGGCAAATCCTGTTTTGCTTGGTTAGGGTCTGTTCTGGAATTGAAACACTTGAGGTTCACACGTGGACATTTTGAGTTTCATCGATTTGCATCAAGATTTGCTCGTTTTTTTTTCTTTCTTTTTGAAACCACTTTCCTTTTTGAAACCCGTGTGGATCGCTGCCTTCAAATTACCCTCATATCCCCCGCAGTGGCACCGGCTTTGGTCGGTGTAGGGAGCTAGCTTTCCCTCGGGTCCCAGCTCCGGTAGCGAGTAGACAGTGCAAGCTGTTCATTTCAGGGCCTAGCGACCCTACTGGTACGTGAGACCCTACTTCTTGTCCCGCCCGCTCGGTGCCCATCACCTGCATCTCCGCATCCGGCCCTCTTGACACTCCTGATCCTCGTTTTATCAGGGTTGCCGTGCCCCCTCGCCCGCGCCCTCCGGTTGATTGGACCCTAGTGGCTGAGGGGCGCGTCGCACGGGTCAGTCACGGCTCGTCCCACCACTCCTCTTTTGCCAGGATAGCCGGGGGGGGGGGGGGGGCGGGAACCTGTAGCGCCCCATATGGGTCTAGCGGTTTGTCGCTCGCGCTGTGGCGGGGCGCTCCGTGCGGGACTCCGCTTGGGGCGCCTGGCCGCGCGCAGCGGCTTAAGGTGGTCAAGGGGCGATGGCGCTGAACCACGCACAGGACGGGGGGGGGGGGTCTCTCCGGTTACACATGGACGTGTGGGAGGCGTCGTTCGCCCCGTATAGCACCGGGATAGCCCTGACGACGACCACCTCCCGAAGGAGTGTTGGACCGTCCCCCAGTTGGCTCCGTGGTGGGTGGGGAGCCCCGGTGCCGAAACTAAAACCACTGTATACGGCTTCTTTAAACCCCCAAAACACCCGCCCTCCGAAAGGGGGACGGACAGCGATGAGTTCAGGGCACGAGGTGGAAACAGGTCCACCTGCCCCACGGAGCCTCGTATTTCGGAGTGATGAGATAAGTTTGTCATCTCTTTCGCCGTTTCGGCGCCGAAACGGGTGCGACAGTTTGATGAAGTGGTCCGCTGAGACAAGTTGCGAGACGGTGCGATAGAGGTTGAGTTCTCCAACGGTGCCGACGCGACACGGACTATGACAGCCATTGAGTCTGTATATCCCATCACGACCAAAGGTCAAAAGCAAGACGTGAGCGTGCCAATGACCGTGGCACCACACCAAACCAAGAACTTTCCTCGAGGCCTCACAAACTGCTATAGTCTTCGGGATGTCGTCGAGAAAGAGGTTGTCCTGGAGTTGAGAGTGTTTGAAGTTACCGCAGCGGGCCAGATCACGGTTAGGAGAGGTGGCGACCAGATGCCCACCAACAACACAGTTCTGACGTTCAACCGGCTAGATCTGCCTCCTGACATCCGTATCGGCTATGCTGTCGTCAAGGTACGGATGTACGTGCCCAACCCTATGCGCTGCTTTCAGTGTCAGCGTTTCTGACACACGAAACCACACTGCCGAAACAGACCAGCCTGTGATAAGTGTGCGTCGTTCTGGTATGAAGCGAACCAGTGTGATGCTGTGCGGCCATGATGTGTGGGCTGTGACGCAGGTTAGGTGCTTCACACGACTTTTGACAGGAGCTGTCCGACATGCATGAAAGACAAGAAAAGCATTTATCTGGAAGCTGCTAAAATCATCTCATTCGGCGAGACACGACAGCTGTATGAGGCTGGTCACCCAAGAACGTCCTATGCGAATGAAGCCGAACGCTCAGTACTGCAGCATACTACCACCGACGAGATGTCAGCTCGCCAGCTCATTTCGCTTCTGGGGTCCCACGGACTCAGTGGTGCTGGCGAGGCGGCGCCCGGAGGACTTGGCCCGGAGGCCCTGGCCCGAAGGCCTTAGCCTCGGCCGGAGCCCTTGGCCTTCTCCTCGCCGCCGGCCCACTGGGCAGCGGCCACTCTAAAGACGCCACCTGCTCCGCTGGCACCCTCGGGAGAGGAGGAGTGGATGGTGGTCCGGCACGGCCCCGGTCCACGGCCTCCATCGTCACCCACGTTGGAAAAGCCGCTGCTCTCGTCTCCCGTTTCGGGCACTGCGCTGCCTTCGTCGCCTCCGACGCTGCTGGCAAATGCGTGCGGACGAGCATTGGAAACGTTGGAGCGCCGCAAGTTGGATAGGCGCACCCGCGATGCCAAGCGGGCGCGTTTGGCCGAACACGAACGGGTCGCCAGCCGTCGCCAATCAACCAACAAGCCAACAGGGCGGGCAATAAGTCCGTCCCCTGCAGCACTACTCCATCGCCGAGAAGGCCGTTGGAGGCTCTAGGGACCGGCTACCGCCGGTCCCTAGAGCCTCCAACCTAGAGCGTCTAGGGACCGGCTACCGCCGGTCCCTAGACGTCTGGTACAGACCCACTGATGGGCTCTCCCCCGCCGCCACCCCGACCTGAGTGCGCTGGCGTAAAGCGTGCCCCGTCTCCATCTGACGGAGGGAGTCCCAGGACTTGTCCCAGAGTGGGGCATTGTCCTGCACAGCTGGGACGTGGCCCCCAGCCTAAAACGTGCGCTCCTGCAACTGGCGCAGCCCAGTTCTTTTAAAACGTATCTGTTTTAGTATGAGACTCCAAACCGTCTTTTAATACGACCCCTTTACAGGCCCTTTTAAAATGGAACTGTAGAAGGATCAGGGCGAGAACCCTCGACCTCCAGGCTGTCGTTAGAAAACACTGTCCTGCAGCCGTAGCGCTGCAAGAGACTAAGCTATGGCCTCAGCATTGTTCGTCTTCTTATCGTCGTCACATCACTGTTTGTTCGCTGTGTCGTCCACCAAGATATCGCCTTTCTGTTGGCGCGCATCCAATATTTGCTGTCTGAACTCCCTCCACCACTTCTCTTTCTGGTGAAGATGTGATATAACGAACACTCGCGGAAGGCTGTGTGCGAATTTTATCCATGGTGCTTCACAATGTATTTTAAACACGGGAGCTCGTACACCTTTCACAATGCCACTCGGTCAGATGTCGGCGTTAGACTTCTGGTTCAGCTGGCTGGTTACTGGCTGGCTGGCTACTCTCTGGTTACTAGCTGGTTCAGCACCTTGAGTGGAGTGTCGGTGATGACCCGATGGGAAGTGACCACTTTCCTGTGTGGGTCCCGTTTACGAGAGGTGAAACATAGGGTGTAAGGCCACAACGCTGGAATTTGAAAAAGGCCGACTGGTGCGAGTTCAAGACTCGGCTTGAGGCACCGTTGTTATCTGTCCCTGGGGGAGGCCACCCACTATTAAGGATTTTCCTCATAGACTTTTAGAGTGTGCCAACGGGTGTATCCCACGCACTTCTGGCGCTCTCCGACGCACTCCAGTTCCGTGGTGGACAGAGGAGTGTCGGAGCGCCATTCGGTCACGTATGCCTGTGTTTCGAGGTTTAACGCAAAGAGCAGCGTGGAAAACCTAATAGCATATAGAAGGCAAGACATTTTGCTCGTCGCACGGTAAAGGAAACGAAGCGTTCTTCGTGGTGCGCGTACGTGAGCGCGCCAAACCGGTTTACGCCGATATCGCAGGTTTGGACCCGGATCAAGCATATGTCGGGTCATTTTTCACCCATGGCTCTGCCGGTGCTACGTGTTAACGGCCAGAGTGTGACGCGCCCGTTGGATGTTGCGAACGAGGTTGCCCAAGCGTTGACCCAACACGGCGTAGGTGGTAACACAAACCTAAAGTTTGTGCAGCGTAGAGCGCGATGTGAGCAATCAACAGTGGACTTTTTGATGACTGAATTGTATTTATATAATGACGCTTTTACCCCGGTTCGAGCTGGAATTGGCGATCGCCAAGCTTCGCATCGTGTCAGAAGGCCCGGGCACTGTACACAATGACATGCTTAAGCAGCTGCCGGCTCGCGTGCTTCGCGTTCTATTAGTGGTTAGTTATTCGTTTTGGACCAGAGGTGAATCCAGCTTCTTGGCGAGAAGCTATCTCTTGCCTCTTTCAAAACCGGGTGAAAGGGGCTAGATCTTTTTCCATTATAGATCCGTTTCTCTCCGTCATCGCTCTGCAAGTTGATTTAAAAGGTGGTTAACGTCCGTTTAACTTGTTTTTTTTTAGCATCACGGCGCTTTTAAAACGCACAGTGGAATTTTAGAAAGAATAGCAGCACAGTGAATGCTCTTTTAGTTCTTGACACCGCGATTCGTGTGGAATTTGAAGCAAACCGACATACAGGCTCTGCCTTCTTTGACATAGAGGACGCCTTTGATACGACATGGAGGTATGGCATTCCCGTCAAGCTATATAGGTATGGCATACGCGGCAATATGGACACTTTTTCAAAACCTTTTAGTCGACCGTTATTTCTCCGTGTCCGTGTTGGGCACGCGCTCCCTGAGAGGCACCATCAAGTTAGTGGTGTGCCCTAAGGTGGTATCCTGAGCGTACCACTGTTTGCCGTTTTGATAAACGACATCAGAGTGGGGCTGCTGCGGTCCGTGGGTCGTGCCCATTTTGTTGATGATTTTACCATTTGCACTAGCGCGGCAAGAGCTCCATCAATGGAGCGACATCTCCAGTTGGCTATGGACCGTATCGAGAAGTGGGCACCATAAACGGGCTCTGGTTTTCTAGCAACAAGACTGTAGCCATGCATTTCTGTCGTGGTCGGCAATGCGGTAACATGTATATCCGTCTGCGTGATCAACGCGTCTCAACGGAGCCTGTAGCTAGATGCCTTGGGGTATGCCTTGACTGCCGACTAATGTATAAAGTCCATCTTAAGACGCTACGCGAAAGCTGTTTAAGTTTTTAAACATGTCAAAATGCGTTTCGCGCTCATCGTATGGGTGGAGGTAGAAGTTCGCTTTTGCTATTGTATCGCTCGATCATACGTTCTAAGCTGGACTATTGCTTTTGACATTACATGCTTTATTTATGCGTTTAGTGCGTGTGAATCTACCAACCACGTCCTTGACGCTGTCCATCACGCCGCTTTACGTGCCATCACAGAAGCGTTCCGCACATCATCTATCGCAAGCCTCATGGTGAAATCACACAGGTCGCCCTTGTCAGCGGACAGGAAAATGCTCGGCATGCGTTATGCAGTTACGCTGCAACAGTCCCCTTCCATCCGGCATGGAACGCGTTTGTTCACGGTCTGCCGTGCGTGTTCTTTGTGGTGCACCTCTGGTACATGCTGTGACCTTCGGCCTCCGAAAAGAAGCCTTGCTGCGGGAAAGCAGAACTCCCATTTGAAGGGCGAAGCGGGCAGATCATCTGTCCACTCTTCCCTGGCGTTTGAGCTCGCCATCAATAGACACGTATTTGGCCGAATGGAAACAGAATGTCGTCTTGCCAAATATAATGCAGTCGTGGGCGCTTGAACGTATGGTGTTATATGACGGTTAGACACTTACTTACATGGACGGCTTCAAAACTTCTAACGGTGTGACCTGTACGTCATCCGGTCGTTTTCATTGCCTCTACACGCGTCAGCATTCGCATCGGAGTTGGTAGTGATCACCAATGCGCTGTGTTTCACTGAAGTCAGTGACGAACCTTCACATCTGATTTTGACAAACTTTCTGGGCAGTGTTCTTAGTCTGAGGTCTTTTTATCCACCATATCCCCTTGTACAAGATATTTTAGGACGTCAGACCCAACTGGATCAGGCCAGAAGGAAAATCATTTTGTTTTGGATTCACAGTCACATTGAAATCGCAGGCAACGAGGTGGTTGACATGGCTGCAAGGCGAGCAGCGCTGGCTTCATGTGTACGCTCCCTTTCTATCCATGCTAGAAATGCTTACCCTGCAATACAAAACCTTTCTGCAGAATGAGTGACAATGTTGTTTTGCGATAGGATATCAAAATAAGCTCAGACCAATACAACCCAAGCCGGGTCAGTGGTTGCCTTGTTCTCGCAAAGTGAGGCAAAAAGAGGTGATCCTCTGCAGACTACGTATCGGACACGTGTATGCAGCCCACAGTTATCTGTTGGAGGGAGCCGTTAGACCTATCTGTCATAGATGTGGTGCTGTTCTCGCCGTTCGCCATGTGCTTATATCGTGTGCGCGCCTCGTGGAAGAACGTCAACGTTACTTTGGGCAGTGTGACTCGCCCCTGACGCTCTGTGACATTTTAGGGCACGACTTTAGGAGACCACACGCGCTTTCTTTAACCTTGACGGGTCTTTTTGTTTCTTAACACACGCTCGGGTGGAGGGGGGTCAAATTGACCCGAAGGTTTTTCCAGAATGGTTTCCGAACGGCTTAGCGTAGCGGCGCCAAATTCTGTGGAGCTGCAGACAATTAAATAGCACATGGCTTGACATACAAAATTTAGATGTACCTTGTAAGGTCGCTGACCTATGGCAGGTCAAAGTCAGACCATGGTTTCAGCGAAGGCAACTTCTAGGGAATCGTTCAATCTAATACAACAACGGAGTTTTGACGAAGCCATACATCTCTGAGATACTTTCTTAAGCACCATAAATATTGAATGAGCAAATAACGTTGACCTAAGGTCAGGTATGAAGGTCAGACCAAGGTCAAAACCAACCTGATTTATTACTCTAGGATTTGCTGTATGGGATAGTTTATGGTACTCATTTCGAATTTATTGACAGCAGGAGCCGCATTTTACATCCGCCATTGACTTCTTAGAGGTCGGAACAGGTTATTGACCTAGCATGACCTGGGTCGACAATTTGTTCTAGGAACATGCTGCCTAACGTAATCTTTGTCGCTTATTCAAATGCAAAACTCAGGGCAGTCTTGTATGATTTTGGCCACCATGACCTTCAAAAGGTCAAAAAAGGTCACTGATCTCAAATGGGCTTATAACCTTTTGCTTGGAAACAGTTGCCTAGGTTCTGGAGGAACTTTGGATACCAACCTAGAATTTGAGCTTGTTTGACCTTATTTGACCTGAAGGCCATGACTCATGAAATTCAAACTTTGACCTAAGTGAGTTCACGTACAGGTCAAGACACCCTGTAAATTTGTTTTTTCGACCTTTCTTAGTTCCTCAGATCTCAGGGGTTTCAAACTAACCAGCCACCCGAGCGAAGGGTATCTAGCCGGCCACCCGGGCGCGTATTAAGCATACAACTTTGTGACTCTTTACTAGGTTCACCAATTAGATGAAAGAAAACTCATTATGGGCGCTAAATGACCACTGCAGTCGGCGCGCCCGAAAACACCACTAAACGACATCAACAAATTTACCTCATATTATTTTAAGTGCGCCAACGTTGAGGAATCATTGAGGTTTGTTGCAGGAAAAAAGTTTGCCTCTTCAGCGACGTTTATTTTTCCGTTTGACACACATCAGGATATACATCAGCCTTCTTAAAATTACTGCGACTAGTATGCTACTAACGAGTCTTGTGTTAAAGCTCGCGTTTGCCGGTTTTTGTTGCTATTTCCTTCCTATAATGGTTGTTTTTATGAGCAATTTGTGAGAAGTAGGTCTTATCGCTTTCCGGCTATCGACCGCTGTCAACGACACGGATTGACACATTCCGGTCACACCTGAACGAAAACTGCTATCGGTGTGGGCGACTCGAGTAAACAGCTGTCAGTTAATGTTTGTGATGCATTAGAAACAGCACAATATATCCGATTTTGGTGCGTGCTGAACGTGACGTAACTCGTTTGCAGCCGCTGTGCAGTGAATGCTTCTACCGTATCGTCGCATGATTTTGTTCCGAGCCGTATGCGCCCACGGACTGTATTTAAACCGCCATCAACCATACACACCGGCCTTCCAACTTGCCAGAACACCAATACCTCGCTGTCTGTCCATTGCGTGCTCGCGGCGCAGCGTCATGGGAACGCCCGAGTTAGCGGCGTTCTCTTGTCGAGGCTGATCCACTTGTCATCAGGCTTCATCCAGGTGTCCGTTTACCTCCCGTTCCGGTTGCAGTACCGCACGTTATTACGCTCTGCCTAACTGCCAGCACGCTTCCGAACACGCGTCGAAGGACTTGAAGTTGTTGGCATTTTTCGGATCCGTTCCTTCCGGGTACTTGCCGCTCCAGAGGAACATAAGGCAGGCTCCCAAAGAACGGTCCCAGTACCAGCGGAGGGTACCGGAGGCTGCTTTGTCATCTTTGGAAGGTTCTAACTTCGGCTTCAAGCACCTGGCCTCCCGCGGTGCGCCGTGCACGACGTAGACGGCCAATAGCAAAGCGAGCCCCACGGTTCGCATGGCAGCCATGGCTTGTGCAGGTGGCGCCGCGCTGGCCTGCTGATGAGCTGAGCCTCGAGCTGGCGCACGTCCGCTGGCGACTGGCGTCAGAGTGGCCGACTCCGCGGGGCCGCCGGCCGGATCTGCCGTTGACCCGCGACATTTGGCGCGCGTCGGCCGTGACGTCGCTGTCAAGCCGCGCCGCTTACGACCTCTCGGCGGGCAGCCGCTGCGGCCGCCCCTCTCTGGGCTCGCCTCGCTGGCCGCACGGGGCGAGCAACGGCACGGCGGTTAGCAGGCTCATTACGCGACACTGATGCGAGTCATGGTCAGTGTTCAGGATGTGCTTTCGCTCGTCACAGACTTCTATACTTACTTCAGCAGTGATCGTAGAGTACATACAGCCTGGGCGCTGTACAAAAACTTCGGCCGGTCGTCTCGTGCTGGCAAGGGCGGAGCTGTGCGCTGTTACCGTGGCTCAATGCGCAGCTGGCCTTGTCATGTTAATCCATTTTGTTCTTGAAATGATCTTTAAAAGCCTACAACTCACCGCTGGTGACCTACAAATCATATCGAGAATATTACACATGTGAGTGTATATTTATAACGTGCGTAGCCCTTACAAACCAAGCGTTGGAAACGGCAATCTGAATTGTGCATTCCAGAGAGAGAGAGAGAGAGAGAGAGAGAGAGAGAGAGAGAGAGAGAGAGAGAGAGAGAGAGAGGAGAGAGAGAGGAGAGGAGAGGGAGAGGGAGAGGGAGAGGGAGAGGGGAGGAGGGAGAGGGAGAGGGAGAGGGAGAGGAGAGGGAGAGGGAGAGGGAGAGGGAGAGGGAGAGGGATGAGGGAGAGGGAGAGGGGAGAGGATAGGGAGAGGAGAGGGAGAGGGAGAGGAGAGGGAGAGGGAGAGGGAAGGGAGGGGAGAGGGAAGGGAGAGGGAGAGGGAGAGGGAGAGGTAGAGGGAGAGGGAGAGGAGAGGGAAGGGGAGAGGAGAAGGAGAGGGAGAGGGGGGGGGAAGAGGTAGAGGGAGAGGGAAGGGAGAGGGAAGGGAAGAGGGAGAGGGGAGGGAGAGGGAGAGGGAGGGGAGAGGGAAGGGAGATGGAGAGGGAGAGGAGAGGGAGAGGGAGAGGAGAGGGAGAAAAAGGGAGAGGGAGAGGGATAAGGGGGAAAAAGAGGAGAGGGAGAGGGAGAGGGGATGAGGGAGAGGGAGAGGGACAGGGAGAAAGGGAGAGGGAGAGGGAGAGAGAGAGAGAGAGGATAGAGATAGAGGAGAGAGAGAGAGAGAGGAGGAGAGAGAGAGAGAGAGAGAGAGAGAGAAGAGAGAGAGAGAGTGCGTGGGTGCGTGACTGTATCTCCTGTATTCACCATCGCATATTTGGCTGATCATCAGCATGTGCGAATGCGGCCGTTGCTGTGCGCGCCGCCGCCTCGGCTCCTCATCGTCTGTCGCCGTTGCAGGCCGCGCTGTCGCGGAAGCGGGAGGCGTTGGTGGCAGCCGAGCGCTGGCGCGCCGACCTGGCCGCACGCCAAGAGAGCAACAGGCACGACATCGTGCGGCGCCTGGTGCAGGAGGAGCGGCGACGCCGGCGACCAGCCGGCGGTACGCCGCCCGCGCGCCAGCCGCACCGCCCAGCGCCGCTCAGCCTGCCGCCCCTGGCGACCGCGGCCGGGGCGGCGCGGCCGGCCAGCTCCGCCTCGGCCGAGTCAGCGTCCGGCTCGAGCTCGACGCTGAGCGACGCCCCGACAGCGTCGGCGGCCGGCGGAGACGGCGACGGCGACAACGGGCCCCACACCTCGCCGCTCGCCATCTCGGCCGACGCGCGAGACCGACTTCAGCGGCTGCTGGAGAGCGAGGCTGGCCAGGCGGACGCGTCCGATGGCTCGGACTCGGTCTCGCTGACCGAGATGGCGCGCGACTGGGCGCAGCGGCGGCCCCGCATGCCCGTGGAGCGGCCGTGCGTCACGTCCCGTCCCTGCCCCTTCAGCTGGAAACCGGACGTCATCGAGTTCAAGGTTGGCGCCGGCGGCACCGAGCTGAACAATGCTCCCGTGGGGAAGGAAATGGACGGATGTGGAGGCTCGGCGCCACATCCACAAGCACGCCTGGGGTGTGCTTGTCTGGCACCTTCGTTTTGACATATGCTAACAATGACATGCGAGGCAGGGATGGTATTTCAGCCGATAAAGCTTATGTCTGTCGCTGTCTAGATTTTACTGTTTTTCTGTTTAAACGGCAAACTGACAGATATCTAAACTCTTGCGCTCTGCGGCCATTAACCGTGGGTCAGAGATACGACAACAGTGTGGCATCATCCCTCGTAGAATCAACAGGAGAAAGGAGATATACAGTAATTGCTGTTTAGTCTATACGCCTTTTTCGAAACGAATGTCAGTAGCAAATTCAAAATTGCATATTTGCATTTGCTACTGATTTTCGTTTCGATAAAGGCATATAGCTTGGAGATCAATCCATCTATCTCTTCTTTCACCTGGCCATACTAAGAGGAGTAAGACTAACGATGTTGTTTGATCCATAAGCCTAATATCCGTCGCAAATGCACTTACAACTGACGGAGCTTTTTGCCGTAGCTTTAATGGTGCACGACTGCCTCTTGCACACACATTTGTTACATGCTACCTCTCAGGAGCATGCAGTCGGGGTCCAGATATTCGCGTGTGTAACATCATGAAAATAATTTAGGGTAATAAGCACAACAAGATATGGCACTGGTCAGAAGTACTAGACGACACATAACATTTTGCTCGCGAGTGCCAACAAAAACTCTCAATACAAATAAGAGCCTTACTGTTTATTTATTATCATTATCGCAGGCATGCATGTGGTCTGCAGCTAGACTAAAGCCAGCAAAGCTTATCAAGTTGGTTCGAATGACACATCTTACAACTTAGGACTTTATGATCTGGTCCAAAGGGCGTGCTTTGCCTGCTCTGGTATCATTTGTATTGTGTATTTTTAGCGAGGGCCAGATATATGTTTTGCGTTCGTACTGAGAAAGTGCGGTAGAATGCCAGCAGAACACGGTCGTCTGGCGTCGGGTTGAATAGCTTGAGTGAATGGTGACTGAGGTGCATTGGCTTTCTCGAAGTCTAAACTTCGCGGACTTAATATCATGAAATTGTAACTGATGAATGAACAGTCAGTTCGCATGTTTTTCAAGACGCGGTATTTTGCTCTCACCGGACTTACATGAGCCGGAGCGTATTAGCTGGATCTTCTGTACCGCTCTTACAAAGTGCAAGTTTCATCAGTCAATTATTACTGTTGCGTTGCTTTAGTCAGTGTAGTCACCATGTTTACTTTAGAAATGTTGTACATGCGATGTGCGTCGGCATTATGCTGCTCCGTTTGACGGCAGTGGTATACGACATCCTTGACCGGTTTCTGGTGCTTGCCGGTTGTTGGATTCCGGTTTGTGGTGTCTGGTGTATGCTTTGTCGGTTTCTGGTTCCAACCAGTAAGTTCAATCGGTTGCTGCCAATCTTCATGTCAGGGCTAAATATCTTCGTGCTAAACACTGTAGTTTTCGTCCTGAAGTGAAACACGTGTACATCAGTGTTTGTTGAAGGCTCACCAAGAGCAGCAACGCGTCGTGTGTTTGCATGGCTGCGTGCTGCGCAGTCGGCGGTCGACCCATCATCAGCGTCTCCATCCTCCGCCAGGATTTCCAAGTGGGCTGGACGTATCATCGGCGCGTGTCGATCGTGAACCTGTCGGCCACGCGCTGCAGCTGCCGCTACATCGGTCTTTTCGAGGTCAACTACTACCAGCTGAACCACCCGATGGTCGAGATGCTGCGCGTGCGCTTCTCACCGCCCGGCTTCCTGGGCACAGGCCTGGCGGCGCGGCTCGAGCTGGAGTTCACCCCGCGGCTGCTTTCGGACGGCTCCTGTCTCGTCCGTTTCCAGGCGCCCAATGGCGAGTTCCACGTACCCGTGCGCTTTGTGGCACAGCGCTGCGAGCCGCGTCTGGAGCGCGCCTCGCTGGAGTTCGGGGAGCTCGTGCTGGGCGCGCGGGTGCGTCGCAGCGTGACCCTGCGCAACTCCGGCAGCAAGGGCTGCCGCTTCACCATCCGCGCTGTGGGCGGCTCTGCGGCCTCCTCCACGCCGTTGGGTGATCGAGAAGGCGGCGAGGCGTCGACGTCCGCCCTCGGTGGTGAGGAGTCGTCCTCCTCTGGAAGTCAGGAGCCGGAGCCGACGCCCTCTGTCGGTGTCCAGAAGCCGATGCCGGTGCCCTCCGGCGGAGATCGGGTGCCTTCTCATGGTGACGAGAAGCCGGCTTTGGGACCCTCTCCCAGCGGCGAGGAGACGGCGCCAGCTGATCCGTCTCCCGGGGATCAGGAGCCGGCGCCCACACCTCACTGCGACGATGAGCCGGCGTCGACGCCCTCTCCCAGCGGCGTCACGTCACAGGAGGCGGCGTCGCAGTCCGCGACGGGCCAGTCGAACGACAACGGCAGTGATGCCGACCGTGCCTCCGAGCGCGGCGTCGACTCGGGCGGCGGCGACTCGGACTCGCGTGGCTCGCAGTCGGTGCTGCAGTCGGCAGCGGCCGTGGTCGGGTCCATCCTGCAGCAGCTGTTCGACCGGCTGCCGATCATCGACTTCGACGGCGGCCTGGGCATCTGCGGCAGCGGCGAGGGCGAGCTGCCCGCCGGCGGCCGCGCCCGCCTTCACCTCGGCTGCGTGGCCGACCTGGAGGGCACCTGGCGCCAGCAGTTCGTCGTCGAGTTTGATGACCCCACGTGTGAACCGGTTAGTTCGTGAGCGTTTGGGGTGCTTGCGGGCACGTTCTTCACAGGAGCGTTGCGAAGTCATTTTGTTGGTTTGCCTTGATTCTATACATGTCGGTCAGTTATGACAAACGCTCAAGTCCAGCGAGGTCGAACTGGGAGTCGCTGCGTCCCAGGTGGCACTCCTGCTGTGTCCTTGCATGGGACCCTGTCTTGCTGTGTTCTGTGACGCCAGGAGCCGCATAGCGGCTTCATCTCATATATCGCATACCGTATACCGCAAGCCGCGTTGCGCCATAACGTGACGCTCGAGCCCTGTCCTGCTCCGCGGTCGCGGGCTGCGCGCGCAGATCCCTCTGGCGGCCTCCTACTCGGGCCACGTGTTCCCCATCACGGTGCGGAACCCGCACATCACGCTGGACATCTGCCTGTGCGGGCTCACCTACTGGGACAACTTCGAGATCATCAACACCGGCAAGGTGGCCAGGTGCTGATGACTTCACTGCTGGCGCCTGTGCCGCACGTGCGCTGCCGTGCGGTGTCCATGTTCACGCGGTTCTTGTCATCTGAATTTGCGATGTGCTGCAAGCATAACTCCCAAGGCTTATCTCAACCGATTCACCTCAACATCATCATATGCTCAGAGGTTACTTGCATTCTTTTGGATGAACGTATTACGGTGCCCTGAGGAATCTGCTTCTCTGCTGTTGGAATTTTCTGATCATTGAAATCTGTTTTTACACTTGACTAATATTCCAAAATCCTGTGACCGGTCCCTGACATCACGTGACTTGCTTCCCCTGACGAGCCGCCCTCCGGCTGCCGTTTTCAGCCGGGTGCAGACTCTCGTGCCGGAGGATATCAAGCCGTTTGTGGAGATCCAGGGCGCCACCGCTCTCGTGCAGGCGGACAGCGCATTCAAAGTGAAGATATACTTCAAGCCCAAGTGCGTAACGTGCATGCTTGCTTTAACTGTGATTGACCCCGACTTCGCGTTGTTCGCCAGGAGGTACAACCAGAGGTCCGTGTATTCCGCACCGCGTCTTTCGGTGCCTCTTGCTTATCGGGGAAACTTTTAGGTTCTTTGTTGTGGCGTGGTCATGCCTTTCTTAAACTAAGTTGGCGTATCCCGCGTCGCCCGCTGCAGTGGAAGTTCGTAAGTCGTGCGTCTCAAAATCACTTTCCTTGACAAATGCCTGTGTTTCCAAGATCCACTCAGCGTCCGCACGTTCGGCGTATTGACGTTGAGGTATCCGAGTGGGAATCCGAGCTCGGTTCCCCAGATCTTCCGCGGCGCCGACGTCTGACGCCCGTCGCCGACAGGCGGTCGCTCCTGACCCCACCGCACCGCTTCTTCGACCCGGCCACGCACGTGCTGGACTTCCCGGTAGCGTTCCACGTGGAAGGCCGCTCGATCCGCGGCTCTGTCCAGGCGGCTGTGTCCAGCGACCGGGTGTGGGTGCACCCGGAGCGTCTGGAGCTGGGCCGCGTCACGCTGCTTGAGTCGGTGCGCCGGCGCGTGCAGCTCACCAACGGCGGTCTGGCGGCGCAGCTCTGCCAGTTCACCGGACTACCGGACGTGAGGGCCCCTCGCACCCCTCGCGTCCTCGATACCCCCACGTCTCTCACGCTCTTCACGCCTCTCGTGCCCCCCCCCATGCCCCTCGCGCTCCTCATGCCTCTCCATGCCCCCATGCCGCTCCGCCCCTCCGCCCCTCCCGCCCTCTTGCTCATCACGTCGCTCATGCTCGTAACGCTTCTTCATGCCCCTCATGCCCATCGTGCCTCTCCACCCCTCACGCCACGCATGTTCCT